TGAAAAAAAGAGAATAATGTAAGGACAATATATATAATTTGGAGATAATCCATATCAAAATATGAAATAAAAAAATCACCAATATTATTTTGCCGGCCAGACCAACCAAAATAAAATATTGATTTAGGCTAATATTAGATCATATCCAATATTTATTATACGACAACAAGCAAGTGGCATGAGTTAGTAATCCAACTAGCCGAGGCACCCGTTAAAATCAAGTTCTTAAATTCACATGGAAGGAATCGAGCGAGACAATTACTCGATGAGAAAGTGATGTTTACCTAACCACACTTTAAAAAGAGGAAATTTCCCATGCTTTTCTCTCACTCAAAACATTATTTCACACTTCAAAGCTCCCATTAACAAATTTTATATTTTGGAGCAAATCAAAAAGAAAATTATCACCACCAGGAACCTTTAGGGTGCAAACAATCAAAGTAGAGCTCGCCTTCAAATAGTATCGAGAAATGTAGTTTTAATAATGAAAATCTTTTTGTTAGCCTTAAAATATATGTTCATATTTAATTATAAAATTTAAAGCATAAAAAGTAATGTAAATCAAGCTTATCTATGAAAACTTGAAAATTGACGGTCTAAAATGCATTACAAGATGCACTATTTACAAAACTTGAAATCCATTTTTCTCTCTTGTCCATGCATATTGATGTCGAGATGATAAATTTGAGGATATTTGGGTATCAAACAACCTTTTATAATGAAAATTTTGAGATAGGCTCTAATTTGATTGTTTAGGGCCTCGGCTCTATGTAAACTCTTTCCTTAATTTAAATATTGCAAATACTATGCTACCTATTCTATAAGGGTCCAGAATGTCCATTTTCATTGTAGTATCAATAAATAATTACATTTATCAGTTTGTGCTCTTGTTATTATAGACATGGTTTCTATAAGTCCACGGACTTATACGTAGAAATGCGAGCCACTTAATAATTTATTTTTTAAATATAATTTAATCATATTTTGTAGGGAATATATAATCTTTAACAATAGATTATTAATATGCAAAATAAATAAATTTTAAAAACTATAAATGATATTTTTTGAACAAAATATTTGAACCATTGATCTTACTGTTTATTTTGATGAATACTATTTATGGTGTAGACCTACATTTTTCGTTGGTGAATGGTGTAGATGTCCAAGCCCGCATCGTAACATGTGCAGGCTTGGACACACCAAATAATTATCCTTTTATTATTGGCATAAAAGACTCTCTCTAGTAGATGCCACAACTGCAAATTTTTTTCCATATTTATATTAAGAAAACATATTGAAATATATTCAACTTATCAACTATTCGACATTTGACCCTTTTTGTGGGGGGATTCTCTACTAAGAGACCGTATATCTTTTGTATATGGACGTCACAATTACTATTGTCCCTTAAATTTCAAAATAGATGGTTGTAAGAGTTTCTTTGAATGTACACAACGTTAAAAAAATAATAAAAAATATTGAACTCTTGTGGCTCACCCCAAGCCATCCAAATTGACATCTAATGTGAAGGAATAATTGTGACCTCTATGTACAAAAGACAAATGGTATTTTTGTAGTCAACTTTTTTCTTTTTTTTTTAATAATTCAATGAGAAAAATGACTTTTAAATGTAAAAAAATAATTACGTACAAACCCTTTTTTGAGAATTTAAATTTGGGGCATGGTGAGAATGAAATACAAGATGTCATGTTATGATACCCTGCCACCCCAACCATCTATGCTTGGGGACCGTTATAAGGGGACTCCCTCCCTAGGGCATCCATTGACTAGATGTAAATCATTCTAATGAGTCATGGCCATAAAATTATGGGAAATTTATCAGAATGTACTTAAAATATGAATTGCTTGATATTTTATCTATATATTTTAATTTAAATTAAGTAATTTTATCAAAATATCAAAATATACAAAATCATGAGTTGGAATAGTTTAAAATGGGTAAGCATATTTGGATAAACTTCCCTAGAAATTTTGTGGCCCTTGGAAAAACAAAGGCCCCTAGATAATTTTGGATATTATTGGAGATACTCGGGTTCATTAGTCTACTTGCAAACCTTGATTAGAGAGTGAAATATACTCATGACCATTATTTCAAAACCCAGGTAGAGTGGGGCGGATCGTTCACCTCAAATTTATGTCGAATCACTAAATCAATGATCTGGTTTGGGTTTAGATTGGTGGAAATTGATGATTCAAAAAATACTAAAAAATAAATGAAATAAAATAAAAATATAAATAAGGGGCTGCATGTTGAGGATATGGTGGGACCTAAGAAAATATTAAATAAATTTTTAAAAATATATATATACGAATAGGATTTTAGGGAAAAATCGGGCCGATACTCCTATCATCCAAACCAGCGTTTTAAAAATCGCCGAGTCGAACCGGACTCGCCCGGTTCGACTCGGAATTCACGAAAAAGGGACCGGATCGGTTCAAAAACCGGGAATCGTCCGGTTCTAGAGAGAACCGGACGATTCCGCACAGTGACTCGCCGATTCACTGTGCGGAATCGGCGAGTCCGTGAAGAACACGGGTTGCACAGTGTTCTTCACGGATTTTTTTCAAATTTGTCATATTTTGATCATTTTTTTTGTTTTTTTCGGCACGTGATCTGTTTTTCAGGCTGTAAACAGCTTTATTCAGCTTTTTTAACGATTTAATGGTGGAAAAATTGGTTGTTTTTTTATCAAGAAAAATTCGGGGTTCAGGGTTTCCGCCATTTCTGAAATTTCATGCCAAATAGGGCATGAATCTTTCAAAATTTGTA